ATATATATATATATATTAGCTAGTATATAAAAAAAGATCAAACAACGACCGCATATATCGTAATTTTTAAAATGTTATTATTTATCACATTTTCGCTGAATATCTTCCCAGCATACTTGCTATGAAATATTCATATCGTTTGTGCAATTATACAGAACAAAGCTCATATTTCACATTAAGCAGCTTTCATGGAAAATATTACAGAATGTATATTTCCACTAAATGTTACAGAAAACGTAACAACATCCGTGCATATGAAAGAATATATCTATATAATTGTAGAGTCTATTACTTGCGTATATGTATAATATCGATTTGTGAAAAAAGCAATATATTTTTCTGAATAGTAAAAGAATTCCACTATAAACTATTAAAAAAAGGAACAAAAGTTACAAATTCTTCTATGCACGTTACTTGTGCCAAAATAAAAAAAAAATGAATTTTTGCTCTGAACAAATATCTATAAATTATAAAACATGTTGAGGCACAAATAAAAAAAATTACGTACAATCGCGAGATCAACTCGCCACATATATATTATTACTTGCTCAAATAATTTGACAATGACCGCTAATTTTCCGTAATGCGATTATCGGACGAAAAATCTTGCGCAATCCGTAACTTACATTAGAATACGTCTTTTATATATAATAATTCTAGATTTTTTTATTATACACATCTGATGAGTAAAGTTATACACATATCAAATGACAATTTGAATTTATATGCAGTTGCAAAAGGTTGTATATACAATAGAGAAGAATAAAATGGCACGCAGTATGTATATTTTCTATTAATGAAAGAGATTTGATTTGAGCTGTAAAAGCTACGTGCCGTATTCTTGTTCGAAAGTAACTACGATGTATATTCTATTAATGAATAAAAAAATATTTCCTTCTTATAAAGTATGTCTGCATATATTTCAAAGTTTTCGTATTAATTAATTAGTTTTCGTAGCTTTGGTATGCAATTTTTATGTAATTTAATACAGTAGACAAAATATATATACAATGATCGTTAATTACATATTTTGTACAATTCTTCGTTCGTCGCGTAATATTCAGTCCTCGTCGAACTGGAGGTCCAGCTCCAGATCAAGGGCACTGACTTCTTGGAGAGTGTTTATGAATGTGTACCGCGAAAAGATCATGTACAATTTTCGAAACCAGACGTACTGAGACTTGTGTGCAGCCATGGCACTCTGCAAGGAAAAGAAAACGTTAAGAAAAAAATTGGTGTTAAAGGTAAAAATTGGTGATTAATTATAATTAAACAGAATGTTCTGATTTACTTTGATTGTTTGCTTTTGTTCATATGTTACTAGATACCAATATGAGGCTGAAAGTAGACTGACGGGCAAATCTAAGAGTTGAATGTACTTTCTGATTATATTAACAGACTCTAACACATACAGCTTGCAATCTGCAACATGATCAGATTTATATTATATAAGCCTGCTATATTTGTATATGTTAATTGTATGAACGATACTGACAAGCAGGTACTTTTTTCTCTATGCATAATGCGGCGATCGCAAAATACAAGGAGATATGATTCTTATGCCGGCTCACTCCATATTTATCGAATGTCACGACGGCATTGATTTTATATATTTCTATGTATTGCAAGATGCTCTCTGCAACTGTATCTGTTGGCCACTGTACGCCTTGATCATCTGGCAGCTCGCCACTCCTGCACATTCATTTATCCAACTATTATACAGATAATTATTTTATTTTATCATTATTGCACATTTAACACTTGAATGAAATGGTCCAGTTTTTACACTTTACAAAAATTAGACAAGCACGTAGTGTTAAATGTATCGTTAGAATTAAGTGATTCTCTCTATGATAATTTTTAAAACAAAAATATAAGCCGGTCTTACTTGAATGAAATTTATTAAAGTAAAGCTAATTTAAGAACTCAACTCTGTGTGTGTGTTTGTGTATGTGTTTGTGTTTGTGTGTGTATGTATGAAATTTTTAGAATATTTCATACTAAGTTTGGTTCTTGGACAAAATTATTAAAAAATATTTTTATTATAATGATAGAATAATTGTGACAAATGTTTTATTTATGATATTTGAGATTTGTTATATTCTGCCATAGTAACAGTTAAATTGGAATACATATATGGTCCAGTTTCACCCATGTAAGATTAACTTTAATTTGGATTGAATTTACTCTTTATCTTTCTTAGAATTAGAAAAAGATACGAAGTGGAACTGAGCCTGAGTGTTTGCAAGCGACATTTCCTAAGACACACTTACATAATAATTGTTACATTGGCTTCTGGAATTCCCAACACCTTAGTACATTCCCACAGCTCGTCTATCCTCCTTCTGTCCCCACCTGCAAGCATACTAGTAAACATCAATAGACACAGCGTTTGCTTGATGTCTAGCCTGGTTTATTCCTGTCAGTTAATCCAGATCGTTGCTCACGATTCTGGATAACAGAGGCCCACCAGTGACATGTACCCATGGATAAGCATAGCAGGTAGATCTCGCTGGTTTTGGAGCGGGTTAGCCAGTAGATCAATGGTCCGAAGAACATCACCTCGTCGTCTGGATGAGCAGTGACCAGAAGAAGTCTGCTAGGTGGACCTGGTAATTGCCAGGCAGTATGATCCACCTGCTTCAGGATTGTATAAAGAAAGACATAGACACAAAGATATGCCAGCAGAGCGATCAACAGCTGCCATGAGATCTCGCGGATGTAATAACACCACCAGCAGACCGCCTCGTTGAGCTGTAGGCTGAAATACAGCCGCACGTACTCCAGGTCGGCCATCATCTCAGGGATGATATCCACGTGCACAACACGCGTAACGTTTGCGGGCTATCGCGATGTCATAATGCGAATTATCACGAGCGAGAACGTAACGTTCTCGTCACGTCAATCGTCACTGCGGTGCGGAGCAATCAGAATATAGTTGAATTTGAGGTTAGATCGCGCCAGTCAAGCGGTCTGAGCAGTCGCCGTTTTTGGTATTTTACGGACGACACGAGGAGTAAGAAGGAATTAGGAGGAATTTAGAGAGATATTTAAGAGGAGGGATAGACAAATAGAATCAAAATGGAATGATAGATACAAGATACAAGAAAGCAACATGTTAACATGTTTCTAACATGTTAACTCGAGATAACTATGAGATAATTATTTTTATATACATATAATACATATAATTGTCAATCTCGTTAATTATAAACGCGAATTAGTAATTTTTAATTTATATTGTACAACTTAGCGCATCGGAGGCGGGGGAAGGGGAGGGAATAAGTGATTTTTTTTTTAATTAGTTAATTACAATTAACATTAACGTCATACTGATTGACAATTGACATAAACGTTATAATTAGGATTAAATTAATATTAATTGATTTGCTTAATGATTCTCTCTCTCAAACGGTGCGCAAATATTAGAGTAAATTTAATAGAAAATTAATATAAAATAAAAGTTTCGAAAAATCAATAGCAAACAATCGATAGCAATATATCGAACTTCGAGTGCGCGCGCGCGAGCTTCGACTTCTCGAAATCTCCCAAAGCTATATTCAGCTGTCAGCACTCAGTATAGTCAGCTTTATTTGCAATCTGTTTTGTAACTGTATTTCTAATTTCTATTCCAATTTTTCCTTCGACATTCAAATAATTATTTTGAAGAGTTTTTAAATACTTAGATAAGAATAGGAATACAGAAAAGATTTTATAGACATTATTGGCAGATATCTATGCTGAATATTCTTTCAGTACTGAACGCTACGAAGTGTCTGCCACAGGTTATGTCATTGCGCGAAAGGTAGTCGGAAAATCAAAAATTCCAGGATGAAGAATGATCAAGAAGAAATAGACTTGTATCGAGACACGTATGTAAGATATTTAGGTAATGACAAGAGATCGTCGAATGCTGTTATTAAAGTTTTCTGTCATCTTTTCTTTATTTTATATTTCGCAATTTTGCCAAACAATGCCAAATTATTATTTTGAAAGAAGTTGGTAAAGTCAGATGGTATATCGGCATTAAAAAAAATTTATATATATATATACTAACAAGATTTTTTTTCTAGGTTATGCAAATGAAGTTGGAGAAGCATTTAGAAGTCTCGTGCCTAAGTCCATTGTATGGTCCAGTTATGCATTATCGAGTGGATATGTTCTCGCAGATACGATACACAAGGGTGCAAAAGTTTACCAAGTACTGCAAGAAATTTTTAATTTAATGGAACAGAAATAATTATTGGCCACTTAATGACTTTGATTGTTATAGGAGGATGCTACTCCACAAAAAATCAAAAACGTTCTATTATCCACGTCAGACACTTTGCTATGGCAGGCATTCGCGTCGGTGATAGTTCCCGGTTTCACCATAAATAGGATTTGCGCGGCAGTTCAGTTTGCACAAAGAAAAAGTACAAAAGTAGCTTGGAAGAAGCCTTGGATCTCTACGCTTATTGGTTTGATATCTATTCCTTTTATAATACATCCTATCGATCATGCTGTAGAAGAAGCAATGGATGTTACTTATAGGAAATGGACAGGATACCATCCAAAAGGGCCTCTATGTGGTATAAAACATGAATAACAATATGTATAGTTAATTGATTATAGTAATCTAAGAGAGGTCATGCTTACAAGCAAGCTATATTAGTAATTAATAATTACAGAATTTATTCCATTTTTACGCAAAATAATTAAAAGACTTTATATTAATAACTCGTGAAAGAAAAATAATCATATTTTTTACGATCTTTATTGTCTAAGGATAACAATGATTAAATTGGTGCCTGAAAGTTTTTTTAAAGTCACATCAAAGTATAAATTAAAATTCTTTGTAATATACGAGATAAGGAATACTTATAAGATATTAAATTTAAAAGAAGTTAAGCTAAACTTGATATCTATTGAAACATCTCAGAGAAACATTTATATGACCTCTCTTGGTTTAGAAACAGTATAGTATTACTGCCAAATATATTCTGAGATAGTACAACACAGTGCACTTAGAATATTTTAGTGTTATATAATTGCAATAATATTAAATATTTTTGTTATAATGTACATATTATACAGCTACATATTATATAGTTACTATATTATACAGCTGTATGTGCATTAAGATTTTTAGCTGGCTTTTATGCCACAATTGTTAAGCTATTGAATAAAGTTACTGATTTAACATTCCTTATATTATCTCGTAATCGTCGTATACCTAAACCTATACGATTACTTTCGCTTTAATGCATTATTAGTATTTTTATAATATATTGATTATTTTCTTTATTTTTCTTTCGTATTGTATCAAATATTGTACAAATGGAAAATTCAAAATAATCATTCGCTAAAAATAATTTGCAAAAGAAGCAACGTGTCGACACGAAAGAAATTTATCGTTATAATATAAGAGGAATATTTAGTCAAGGTTCCGCGAAGTGAAGAAACAGTTTCGCAAGTTATGCATGGCGAAAGGTTCTACGCGGCTTCCACGGCGGTTAATAATGGCGCGATGTAGGGTAACACCCGTTTCATGAAAATGTATCATGCAAAAAATAATACCACATCGTAGCGGCGTCATAATTATACGCAAGCAGCGCCGATTACGAGATTATTATCTGCTCGTACCACACAATTTCCCTCGCTATCGCGGTTAAATCTGAGGTCCGCGCTCACGATAAATGCGATTGTAATCGATATACATTTTTTAACAGCGATTAGAGCGAGTTCCGTATTAAGACATCAATGGCACCGACTAAGTGTTTTCCCTAGAATAATTTACGATTATAGATAACGTCATGAATTTTCCGCAAAGAATAAATGACGCAAGATACATTGACACGTATCCATTCTGCGAAATTGAATTTCTAACACGCAGAATCGACAGAGAATTGGAACTAAGATCCTTTAGATTCTTTTATATCTTCCGTTATATCTCATGTCAGCGATATTTTAGCAATGTTTTAAGATCATTTTTTAATTTTTTTTTGTAGGACAGTTTCAAATGTACGCAATTCTTCGGAGTTCTTTCATATCCTTGTTTTTCCGAAAAAGATCAACGACGATCTTTTTAAAAAAAGAATACGTCGAATTAAATAATTCATCATTATGGAAATTAAAACTAGTGAATCTTTCGTAAAATTATGTAATGTTTTGATGACGCGTCATTCTTGAAACATATGTCGTTTTTGCTATATTATTTTATAATATTGTTTAAGTAATTGTTTAAGTATAATTCTATTTATATAAATAATTAACGTACTTGGTTTTTGTTTTACAAATAGTTGATATAATAAATAACGAAAAAATTACAATAAAATTGGCGAAATATTCAATATGCAAAATATTTGAATCGAACCAATAAAGCGTAAACAATTAAATATTGAACAATATTAAGTGAAAATGGACCGAGAGATTTAAACCAAATGAGTGAAGAAAGCCATTTTCGGTCAAAGCGGATTTTTTAGTGCTTAATAGTATTGTGTGAATTTTTACAATTGTCAATTTTAACAAATTACGCGCCGATCATTTGTCGATCTTAACCCTAGTTGTACGCACTCTTTTTTTCTACCCTTGATATACACACTCGGATCCCTGAGACTCCATCCACATTTCTAACTTCCGTAAAAATAGACATATTTCAATTATTTTTTTTTAATCAATAGAGAATTGATTAAGGAATAAATTCATAATGTGTAAAAGTCAATAGATTTAAGGGGCTTCGAGATATATAAGTCTATAGGTTCAAAGAAAAAAAAGAAAAATTCAGAAATACGAAAAAAATCTCGATTTAGCAAATTGCATTGAAGTTTCTGAGACTCCAGTATGTATAGCTAGAATTAAAACAGTTTTAGGCTGACATTACATTTATTATACGACAAATGTAATATCAGCCTAAAACTGTTTTAACTCTTAACTGAAAAAAAAGCTGGAGTACATAATATAATATAAATTAAATTTGACAAGCAATTTAATATTATTGATGCTAATAACTTGTCAATTTGTTTTATATATACAAACTTTATTTATTTATTTATTTATTTATTAACATCAATAATATTAAATTGCTTTTCAATTTAATGTGTAATATTGCGTACTCCAGCTTCAATGTAAAACTGTGTTTTTGAACCGATAAATAATCAGTTTGTTTGAACTGGAGAAATTTTGTAAAAATTTACATAATATACATATTATTAGGGACTAAGATCCGCTTTGACCGAATATGGATCTTTTCATAGCTCATTTAATTAAATATTATCTTAAATATCGAAACAATTAAATATCATTTAAAACATCAATAAAACAATTAAATATTGATAAAATAGTAATATACCTTCTCTATTCTTTTCATTTCTCATTGCGAATGAATAATTTACGATAATATCAGCTTCGGTGAATATCCTCGATGCATCGATATAACGAATCGATGATGAAATTTCGTTGTAACAACGAGGGATAAAATCACCAATCGTAACAAATATAATAGAGAATGATCGTATTTCGCGTTTGCTGGTACCTGTCACGATTACAGTTCGAAGAACAATACATGCCAATGATACACTGTCCGCTCACTCGAGTATCGGCGTTTAAACTGATTTCGAAATATCAGGTCTTTTCTATTAGATACGTGTGATATCGCTGCGCGTGTCGCATTATTATGATTCCTACGAATTTAAGATTGACGTGTACGCAACGGCTAAGCGTTTGTTTTCGCCCGCGCGAAAAATTGTTACAGTGTATAACGTCGTGCGTAACTGCCCACGCAAGATCACCGCGCTACCACTCGAACGCGAACTGACGCGAATCTTTGAGCAGGTCGGCAACGGCGCGTGTCGCTCTGCGTGTCGCATTATTTTTCTGATTACAAACTGCGGACGCTATAAACGTGAAACGTGATCGTTTTCCATTACATCCGATACATGATTAGAGATCGTCGGTTAGATGATCGCTGTCGACTCGTCGTATCAGAATTCTTTTCGCGAAGCAGGTATTACCGCGCAATTTTATCCACTTGGAACGAGAATCGAAAGGATGAAGGGAATGGGAGACTCTCGGATTGAATGGAGAGTCGTGCATTACCGTCTCATCGCAACATTTAATTGCTTTTTTAACGCTTCGACTCGGATATAGCTCGGAGCTCGAACGTTCCGCTCGAAAGTTGTTTTGGTCGTAATTTCTTTTTTATTATTTCCGAAAGCGTGGAATAATACACGAATTGGAATGAAGAGTAACGAGAAGCTATACGGTGTATTGCGATTTATCAATAATACTCTTATCTCACTGTTTTGCGTGTTAAAGATACACGATATTGAATATCGATCGTATATTTTTCGAATTGACCGGCTTGTCTCAATTAGATATATCAAATTGATCGCGCCGTGTTGTGTTGTGTGATAGTAGAGTGAATTGCTGACGTCGCTCTTGAATTTTTCAATCAGATAAATGCCGTTAGTGAAGGGATCAATTCCAAGATCGGACGATGTCGCGACGCGTTGCATCCAAAAATTCAATACGATTAGCTCCGCATGCGTTGACTACAAAATCTAATTTATTCTTTTTATTCTTTCGAATTTTACTCTAAAGTGAAAATTCTGCCAAAATTCTTAAAAAAGAAAATTTTCAATCTTTATGAGTGAAATTTCACTCTTTAGAGTGAGATTTAAAGAGTACATTTGTCGACAAATTTTTCAAGCGTGTTATTGGCTGCGATCGCAAGTCATATATTTATTGCAACCATGATAATCGCCCTGAAACGCAAGCCTGTAACATCTATTTTTCAAAGAAATTTGCAGCGACGTTTAGCAACGAAGATACCGTTGCAATAGATGGAGGCTATTTTCTTTTTAGAAAACACAGTTGACGCAAACACGTCTATTTTTCTTGACATTCAATGAGTAACAAAAATAGAACGATACTCGTGTCGATTGTGTCTCCTAAAAAAAAAAGCAGTCGGTATAAAGTTAGCCGTGCGAGTTTCGAATTCTCTACTGCGATCTTTAAATTCGCATCAATTTAGAGGATATGTCGCGAGTGAATCACATCCGTGTTTTTTTTTTGTATATACTCTCCCGTTGTGATGTAATATGTAACGTTTTCTATTAACGCTCCGCGAGTATCAGTCATCATTTTAATCGCATTTTCACGAGTGTTCAGTGTCTACGATCTCCATGAAGGAACGACAACGGAAGGACGTGAGAGGAGGAGGAATATCTCGAAAAGGTCGATCAGACGACAACAAAGCAGTGGCAAATGGTGAATGATTCGTAATTTGATTTATTATTCATTACTGTTAATTAATCGCTCCATTTATCTTTGTGGTATGTCGAGTGAAAATTTTTGAATAAAAACGACACGAGCACGGGTTTCACATGCGATTGATTATAGAGAAATTTGTGTTAAACGATTATTTCTTCATAGTTTAAACCATGTGAGTTTATTAGCGCATTTCGGAGATAAGAAATTAAAAAATTATATGATTATATGTTAAAATGCTTTTATTTGGAGGGAAAAAAAAGTTTTCTAGCTGTAAAATTTATTTTTTTATTTAAATTTTATTTAATTTTCTTTATTTAAATTTAAGGAATTTTATTTATTACTTTGACAAGATTTATTAATAATGTTTGATAATTGAAGAGACAATAGAAATAAGTATGTGATATATTATACATACATAATTCTCGTTATAGAATTTATTTG